CACACTGCTGAAGAAGTGATCAGTCATTATGTTCCACCCAGAAGTCTATGACTGTCTCTCAGCCACCTGTCTGGCTTAAGTTTCCAAGATCCTGAGATACCGTCTTCCTTCCCCATGTATATGTCTGCATCTTAAACAGTGGTTGGAAATTGCAGCACAAGCAGAATTTTATTTATTCTATGCAATTGGTACCCTCCTTTTCCACTCAGAAGGTATTGCTCACAGTGGCTACATGCCATATTTTTCCATTTTCAATGGCATATACTACCTCACTGGATATCTACATCTAAATGGCACTAATTGTTCCTCAATTGTAACATTCTTACATGCCATAAAGCAATGCAGGAGAGTCTTGGTCAACTGTTCACAACCTGGTGCCCTTCAAAATTGTTGGACTACATATAACTTTGTACAGGTGTGTTGGTCATGCTGGTTGGGAATGATAGTCCATTACCCCTGGAGGACAGTGGCTTGTGGGAAACCAGTCTTGTTCAACATATTCAGTAGATTGCTTATCTCTGCCACCATTGGTACCTGAGCATTAAACCAGATCATTGGAAGATTAGATTGATCGATCGATCGATCAAAGAAGGCCAGTGACATTGTGTCCTGAGAGAAGGATGCTAGTTTAGTGGAAGAGCATGTGGCTTGCACGCAAAAGGTTACAGGTTCTTCACTCAGTTTCACCAGGTAGGACTGGAAAAGCTCTTACTTGAAACCACAGAGAGCAGCTGCCAGTCAGTGGTGACAGAACTAGGCTAGATGGGTCAAGAGTCTGACTCAATAGAAGGCAACTTGCTATGTACCAGAAGAACCCATGACACCATGTTATCTAAAGCTCTTTCCCTGACCACAGAAAACTGATCACGTGAACTTCTTGACTGAATCTGATCATCTGCAGAAGTCAAGATGCAGGTGCATGTAAATATATGTGAATGAAGTTGTGACACCTTCCCTCCAAGCCTGAGTGGTGAGTTTTGCAGGAAATGATTTTTTAAAACCCGTTTTTCTGGGTCATAAGGAAGTGTGCTAACTGGAAAACATTTCATAAAGAGATTTTGTTAACCTGTTGACTATGAATGCAAAAATCAAGAAAAGTCGAGTTTGTTGTAGTCCTTCAGGTTCTACCTTGAAGCCCGGTTGAATTCATGTGAGTTTGCAAACTTTTTCTTTGCAAGAGAAAATTGCTGTGTACTTAAATATATAATTGGTTGCATATTTGGGGTGCACTTCCACTGACTTTTTAAGGTGATGTTGCCAGCCCTCCCTCCCTCCCATTTGGTTTGTGCCAGTCACACTTGCAAAGGTGTATGTCTTTTCTTTGTATGTTAAATAGAGGTACATAAGCCTACAAAATCCCTGTGGCATTGGGATAAGTAAATATACCCATCTGCAGACCTTGGCAAATGTATACACAGTGAAGTAGAATTGGGATGCACAGAAACCTGGCAAACCTGCATACCCAATTCCCTGTTCAGCTGTGAATCCAACATGCACAGATTTGGGGCTGGCTCTGGGCAGGGCAGTACAATCCTCCACTTCTCAGATAATCAATAATTCTTCCATGGTGAGGGATGCTCCTGAATCTGCACAATTGTATAGATTTTAGAAAGGTAATCTTTGGTGGACAAAATGGTCATATATTATGATAATTTAGAAAACACATTTTTCTTAGAACATTTTGCTTTCCTCTTTTCAACCAGGTATTAAATGTGATGGTTCATATATGCAGACAAATAGCCCCAGCTGCACACAAACTTGTCATGCAAACAGTGAGTCCAGTGGATTCGCCAAGAAAGAATACTTCTGTTCGGGAAGGGGTGCCTAGACCTACAAGATAGGAATAACTTTTGCCTAAATAAAAGCTGTCGCCTTGTTGAAGCATTGTCTGAATTAACTAATATATTTGCTTGTAAGCCCTCTCCCCTTTCGTTTCACCTTGGGAAGAAGGATAAATCTGTTTGCAGTGTCTCACATCTTGACAAAGAAGAGTAAATGTCTTACAAAAGGAAGGGTTGTACTTTCAGCACATGCTGTAGCTTTGAGAAGTTAGTTGTGCAGATTTTTAATTTGTAAAGCCATGTGAGAGTGTGTGTGTGTTTTCTCTCGCTTGATGACACTGGAGTTGGTGGGGCTTTTCTTGTCATTTGCTTCACTTGTTGCCTTCTGACCAGGCCAGATAAAAACATTCCATCTGAGCAGCTTTTACTGTCACCTTAGCAGGCATCTGTGCACAGCCTGTCTCATGAGAAATGCCAGGAGATCCTATCAGAGACATTCTTTGCTGTATTGGGGAAGTTCCCATCTTTGTTTCTCCTCATGTAGTAATTGCTCTGCAGAGGCTCAGCTGAAATATGCCACAACTTAAATAGACTTCATAGCGTCACCTGATGGAAAGGTAACCCCATTATAAAAGAACATGAGACTTTGACTTCACTAGCCACCATAATTGAATAAGAGGTGGAGGGAGCAGTTTAATCAGGGAAATAGTTTACAGGTTGAGAAATTCTTCCCCGGGACTGCTGCTTCTGAGAGCAGCAATGGACAACCAATGGCTCATGACTAAATGGAGTCCATTGGCAGCTGTTGGCCACCATTGTTGGCAACCCTTTGAGGAAAGTTGGGTTAATCATTGGTGACTGGCCCAAAGTCACCTAGTAAGCACCATGGATGAGTGCAGATTAGCACCGAGAACACCCAAGTCCCAGTTCCACACTCTTAACCACTATACCACATCAGTGAGTAATGAGGAAATAAGGATCGTGGCTCCAAACACAGATGGCTTAGCCCATCTTTGAGTGTGGGTGCTGACCACATAGACAATTATGTTTACTTCTTCCACATCTATCAGACAGGTCAGCCCAGAAGTTGGTCAAAGGGTAGGATTTGATTTCTTGCTTAAGTGTGAAAAAACTTAAATAACTGTATTTGCTACACTTTGGGTTCGGGCTTCATCTTGTTTGGTTGCAAAGTCTTGCCCAACTCTTCATGACCCCATGGACATTTTTCCAGGTTTCCCCGTCCTCCACCATCCCCCAGAGTCCACCCAAGCCCACACCCACCTCTCCAGTGACCCCATCCAGCCACCTTAACCTCTGCTGTCCCCTTCTCCTTTTGCCTGAGACTTCATACCAGACATTTAAGCATTTTAGATCAGCTGAGGTTTAGGAAGTAAGCCATCGCTATTCTTCCTTTCTCCAGCCCTGAGTAGTTTATTCTTAGCCACTGGAAGAAAAGTACAATTATGCAAGATTGCAGGTGAAGCCGTTTCACAAAGTGCATTTTTCAGTATGTGTAGGAGAAATTGCCCATTTATGTGTCGACTGGTGCCCGGCTTAGTCGTTCTTTTGTCTGAGGAGGCAAGACATAAAGTTTTATGAGAATGGGTTTACTTTTTATGTAGTTAGGGGTGTTGGCTGAAAACTTTATTCTTTAATTCAGCTGGTCCAGAGGCATCTTTTCCAAGAAAACTAAACTTCAAGGTGATTACTCTGGACTATAAACACTGTGTGTGTCCACCTGGCAATTTTTCTAGGAGGCGGAGGTTTTTGTTTTTTGGGTGGGTTTTGTTTTGTTTTGCTTTGTCTTTTGCCTATTTATGTGCCTTTCTCTTGCAGCGTCACCTTGCCTTTTTGCTGGTCCAGCTGCTTCTCTTTTCCCTTTTGGAGATTTGAAAATATTGATGAAAGTATAGTTTGTTTATTTATAAAGGATTTTTTAAAGTACCTGCCTACAATCTATTAAATACCATACAAACAGGAAAAGGAATAGGAAGGGAAGAAAAAAGAAAGAAATTCGGGTACCAATTTATTTAGAATGGAAGCTAAATTCAAATCAGTATTAGGAGGGATTGGCACCTCAAAAATTACAAATTGTTTATAACTTTAGCAAGTATTTAGCAAGTATTATAACTTTAGCAAGAGGGTGGCTACCAGGAGAAGGGCATTTTTGATTGTGGCACCCTGACTCTGGAACCAGCTTCAGAAAGAGGTTTGGCTGGCACCTACTCTTTATTCCTTTTGATGCCAGGAAAAAACCTTTTTGTTTGCCCAGTATTTTAACGGTGAACTTTTATTCTCAGTTTTTATACTGTCCCCTATCTTGTCTTGCAACTATGCCTCTGGACAATTTGATTGTGGTTGTTGTGGGCCTATTGTCACCCTTTTATTTGGGGTTATTTTATTTTTGATGATGATATATTGGTTTTGTTTCTTGTTGTATGTTCTTTATAGCTTTGTGAGCTGCCCAGAAAGCCTTGGGCAGCATAGAAATGAAATGAAATAAATGTGTGTCACAAACAAGAGCCTCACGTCAGGTGTGCAGAAGAGGCATGACTTATGGGGCAACTTTGGGACACCAAAAGCCAACTTTGATAGGCTGATGGCCTCCATCCTCCCACCTGACCATTCCAGGGAGATTGCTCTTCACGAGAGCAGGCAGTGTTGTGTCCCGAAGGAGCATCCCAGATCCACACATTCAGATTGGCATGGGGAAAACTAAGGCATGAATGGCATTGTGCGTAAGCCCAGCCCAAGTCCCATTTACTTTTGCGTTCCATGAAGAAATATCACCAGCCAGGGTCCAAATATCTCCAGGGCCCTTGGTTCTTGCATGCATGCATCACCCTAGTGGGGAAGAAGCAGGTGAATCGATGGATTATCTATGGATTATGAACAGTGCCCCCTCCCCCTCCCCCCAACCTCTTTTAAATCTGCGCTTCATCTTGGAGCAGAGAACACATGTGTGTAGAAGGTTGGGCTGCCACCCCTGTGATGATGTGTCCCCCAAAATACAGGCTTTGAAGCCAGCGTACCCCCATTCCATTCTTCGTTGGAGAGCTAGACTACCTGTAGGACTCTACCTAAAAGGGAGGGTGGCAGGGAACCCTCCCCGCTGCCAATGCTTTTTAAATGTGCTTTCTTCAAAGTCTACACTAGATACTTTGTTGCTTTTTATCTGAAAATATTACTAATAGGTTTTCATGTCTTATTCTTTCACAGGCTGTTGTGGGGAAGATTCTCCAGTACCCCTACCTCCAGCAGAACACTGAGAGTCCCTGGACAAATCTGACTGGCACTTGTAGCATTTTGCATTTCCATGGGGACTGTACCAGATCCTCTGAGGTCTGCCAAGCTTTCGTTGGTCACAGCTTGTGAGGAGGAGAACGGCCTGACAGAGCTGCAGTCTCCTAAACACCAGCACAAGCCAGCAAGCATAGAGAGGAGCAGTAATGGCTATCCATTTTCTGCCAAGATGCAGCCTGCTGGAGAGCACCTGTTTGAACTGAAGTATGCAACAGAAGCTGACATTCCAAGGGGTGAGCGGCACTGTGGGTATGACATGAACCGCCCCAGCATGCTTTCTCCTGGGTCCTTGAGCCACTCCAAGATAGGCCGTCCAGCACCCCTGGAGCCAGTGAACAACTCTGAGCAAGAAGCCAACCGTGGCACCAAAGGGCAGCTCCCAGCAGATGCCAGTTCCTCAGTGCAAGCTGCAGTCAAGGTTCCTGCTAGGCAGGAGGCTACCCAGACTGTGCAAAGTGATGCTTATGGTGGCATTGGTCCGGCAAGTTCTCCCTCCGGAGGTGGCATGGTGAGTAAGCCCCATGATGATCCTCCTCCTGCTCCAACTCCTCTGAAAGCCCAGCAGCCCACCCCAGCACCAGAGGAGATGATGGACGAACTGGTTGGTCCCAGGAAAACTCAAGCACCTGCTTCAGTGAAGGAATTGGAACCTGTTTCTGATCTTGACTCAAAAGCACCTGCCTGTTTGGACACAGACTTAAAGGGAACAAAGAATACAAGTCCCGCCCCAAGTGCTTGGACTGGGCCAGAGATGGAGCCCAAGTCCAGCCTTGAGAGCCCACCAAGGCCTTTATCCAGTGATGAGATGGTGGAGAGGGCCATGCCAGAGCCGTCCAAGTTCAGAGACACTGGGACAATGACTGTGCAGCCTGAAGGCAAGCTAGTGATGAGCAGGAGCTGCCAAGATGCCGAGGTCCAGGCTGTAGCAAGTGTAGAAAGCAAATCAGCTTCCACCAGCCCAAGTATCTTGGCAGCCTACTTAAGAGAAAGCATGCCTGCTGAGCCAAAGGAAAAGCAAGAGCAGTTAGAAATCATCTACACAGAAGCTGGAGGGAAGGAACCATCCATCCTGCCTGAAGTGTGTATTCAAGCACCAGCTGCAGTGGATGGATGGCAGGGAGTCCAGGCTGTTGGATTTCAGGACAACCTGGCAGGCAGGGCTGATATAGTCCACACAGCTTTGCTGGTCAACACAGAGCATCCATGCCCACCGGCATCTGGGACTCCTCAAGAAACATCAGTGCAGAGGACAGAAGTACAAATAGCAGACATGACTAGAAGCCACAGTGATGTTCCTCAGCCACTCTTAGATAGTTCAGTTCTGCTGAGGACAAGACCTGCTCACCAAGCTACTATCAGTGCCAGTAATCAGCCTGCGGCTTCCCCACATCCTCCAGACAATGAAAGCAAGCTACCTCCATGTTCTTCCTTCTCAGAAAGCAACCCTCAATATCAGCAGCTTGGGTCCTCTCCTAGGGACAATCAACAGGCGTCCCCACTGTGTCGCGTAGGATCTGAACAAGCCAAGGCTGTAATCATCACTGTTGGTGCTCACGGAAGTAATCAAGTGGAGCAGCTGCCAGCCAAGACTCCTAATGACTTTGAGATAAGCCCAGATAGTCTCATGGATGTAAAACCAAAGAAGGAAGGCACGTTCATCCATCTTGGCCTTAAAGAGCAAGAGGCAAGTAATACAGGGGTAGATCCTGGGCCCCAGAAAATGTGTGCTCGAGTTGCAGTGCAGAAAGAGCAGACTGCATTCCCAGCAGCTAACCAAGAAGCAGTAGTAGTTGACAGACACCATCTGCCCATTGACCTAGAGTCTGAGTTGGGCAGAAATCCTGTCCCTTGCCCAGGAACCCAGAACAATGAGACTAGGAAAGGACCAGAACTTGATCTACCAGCACCTCCTGACTCTGGCAAACCTGTCCCAAGCCTTGGTGGAAACAAGGAAGAATCCATGCCTGCTACCGAGGCCAAAGTGCAGCTGAAGCACTCTAAGCATGTCAGGGACGTCGTATGGGATGAACAAGGCATGACCTGGGAGGTTTATGGGGCATCCCTAGACCCCGAATCATTGGGGATTGCTATCCAGAACCACTTGCAGAGGCAGATCAGAGAACATGAAAAACTAATTAAGGCACAGAGCACCCAGACCCGTAAATCCATTTCTTCAGATACATCTTCGAATAAAAAACTGAAAGGGAGGCATCACAACGTTTTCCAGTCCATGCTGCAGAATTTTCGACGCCCAAATTGCTGTGTTCGCCCTGCTGCTTCTTCTGTGTTGGATTGAAAGATTGCAAATTGCGGGTGGGAAGGTGATGCAAGTCCATTCGTAGCCATTTGTAAAAACGTACATGGGAATCCATAGAAAATAAGACCTGAAGCTCAGCATTGTTGCTTGGATCTGATGCAGTCACTGGGGAAGGCCGTGTGTGTGTGGGTGGGTGGCAGGAGATGGGGTGCAAGGGCAAGAAGAGAGAATGAAAGGGTGTAAATCGTATTCCCAGTAGCCATGGCATCTTAGCTGTCTTATTTCAGCAAATGGCATGTGCATCTTTTATGTTCACATAGAAGCCACTAACCCTGGTCTGTGGCTTAATGAAAATATAAGCACTTAATGAAGCACAATTTCTAAAATGTCCCATTTACTGCAGCAAGCCCTGTCAACTTTATAGGCAGAATGGAGGGAGGGGATCAGATCCTTTAAAAAAAGTTGTTGATCAATTATACAGGGCATTTTAAATAATGTAGATAAGGAAAATTTCAAGAGCTGTGAGATAATCTAGCGGATATTCCAAAGGGGGGGGGGGCACGCACGTATTCACATATATATAATTTGGAGAACCTGGGTTGAGTTGATAGTGAAAGAGAGCTGCTTTTTCTTACATTCATAAATCCTGTGAGGGATCTTTAAGAGAAGTAAGAAGATACTTCTGTTGTTTTACTAAATATAACTCCAGCAGGATAACCTTCCCATCTGGGGCTATCCAGATGTGCTTGACTGTAGCTCCTAGAATGTCGAGAACCAGGCAAGCTATAATTCCCAAATCTGCTGACTGGGATTTATGGGAATTGTAGTCCAGCAAATCTTGAAGGAACAAAATTGGAGGAGGCTGCCATGGACTAGAATTCCAAGTATAAGGCTTAACCAGAGGAGGAAGTCCTTTTGCCCTTTGACTCACATAAAACAGAATTGGAGCTCTTGTCCCAAGGCTTTATCTAATGCACAATTAGGTTGGCTCAAAGAGCTATTAACTGTGTTACACTGTAGGCCTCGGGAAGCCTCGGGTGCTTAGGACTGGAGCATGAGGGATTTATGTTGTGAAATGCTGTCCTTTTAAGTAGCTCTTCCCCCTCATCAGACAGCAGAGAAAGAGTTAGGATTTTCCATAACACATGAAAATGTAGAGAAGATTAGAAAGATGAAAGATGCTGCGTCACTCTTTTTAAAGTCTATTCATGCTCATTGACACTTCTAGCCTATAGAAGGAGATAGTAGCTTCCCCGAGACACAGTTGTTGTTGCGTGCTCACTTCCTGCCAGCTGCTGGGGAGGCAGGGGGAGAAATGGGCAAAGGAAGACCTTGTTAAAATCAATGTGCTGTGATTCATGACACCATACATTGTCATGGAGAGCATTTGAATTCTCTTTCTTCTGGAAATAAAAGGCTTTATGGCACAATCCTATGCATGCTGAGAGAGAGAAAAGCCCTACAATTCCCAGCATTCACCAGTCAGCCTTGTAGGTCTTCTTTCTGGCTAAGGATGTGTAGAATTGCACCTTTGTTGCACATTCTAGAGCATGGTACATAACGTGACTCCCGTGGGCATCTGGGTATCCCCAGACATGTTTTGGCTCTCTCCAAGACCCTCTCCCACATACACTTATTTTCTTAATATGTTTTCTTACTGGCATCAGGAATGGCTATGTGATAGGTTTGTGTTGTACTGAAAATTGTGGGTTCAGAGCAGCTCCTTAGCCTGTTGGGCTCAGACCATCCCACTGCCTTGGGACAGGATTCTTATCCTTTCCAGTGCCTACCCTGGATGCCCCTTTGGCATGATGCCCAGGGCTATTTCTCAAATTGCCAAGTGGGCCCACAGTCCAGAAAAGAAGTGCCAAACCCAGTGCTAGTGTGCAGATGGAGAACTGTGGCTCTCCAAATGTTAGACTGCAGTGTCCATAATCCCTGACCTGGGAGCATAGCTTATCCACCCCTGTTCTGGAACAGGTTCTCGATAGTGAGGTGTACATCCCTAGAGATCCATTCTAGAGAAACTAAGACCACTTGCCAGAGATGAGCATTGCTCTGGCTTCCGAATGTGAGTTCCATCTGGTCCTAGAGTGCCAATCCATACCCATCCAACTAGTGCTAGTGAGAAACCTTGCCTTGACCCAGTGTTGCCTGACAGCACTAGGGGGCAATAGGACCACGTGGTTGCACTTTTCTCTAGTATTGTGTTCCTTGCAGATGCAACCAAAGAAAATAGCTGCTTCTATTCTAACCACCATCTTTGCCCAGGGTGGCCATTTAACACTTCACCAAGAAAAGAGGAAGTGTACAGCCAAATAAGAAGACAAATTAGAATGCTTTTTGCATAAAACTTGGCTAGGCAAATTTGTAGATACATGTGTCAAGTGCTGTAACTTATACAGAATTACAATACATACCAATGCATACCATTCTCTACCATGCATAGTAGAGAAAATTGCCATCCCTGCACCTTCTTAGTCTGCTGTTTGGGTGCTGTCAGCTGTTGATATGTAATTCAACTCCCTTTTCAATTCCCTAGCTCTCCCATTTTACAATGCTTTAGTCTTTAAACTGGATTTGGACCAGGAAGTCATTCAAATGGAGGAGATCTTCGAGGATGGACCTTAGGAAGGCCACATGGCCAACTTAATTCTGTCTTTTTGGCCTGTTTTGTTCTTTAAGTCAAAGGCAAATGTGAGCATCCCTTCTGATACTATCTTAGCAGCACAGATCCACTGCTTCATCCTCGTTTTCCCATTTCAGGAAAGTCAGAAGCTCCAGGGCACATTGGAAGAGCCTGTGATGTGGTTTCTAGCAACACAGGAGTTCCCTTGCTATCTGGAAGGAATGATTTGAGGATCCGCTCTCACTTCATTATTTCAGAATAGCATAGAAAGGACACATACTTTAGGGAGTAGTCTTCCCTCAAGAGTAACTTTTGAAGAGGGTATCAGCTGGACTCAGCAGGATTTAAACAGTTTTTCTTGTTAGAAAAAAGCTCAACAGCCCAGCTCTGAGAACCTCTTACTGACACTGATCAATTTTTTAAAAATCGATTCCAAATTACTCCCCTTTCTGCTAACTACTCCCTTTTTCCTTGTGATGCACCCAGCTGGAAGGCTCAGTAGATTAATTGTTTTGTAACTCCAGTTGCATAACTGGCACTTTATAGATCTGGAAGCTAGACTAAGAAAGAAAAATGAGGGGGAAGGGAAATCATAGTTTTCAGATAAAGTTTCAGCTTTCATCTAACTTTTCACCTCAGAAAAGCAAAAGCCACCCTCAAAGTGCAAGGCTGTACAATCAACAAGCTCACTAGAAAGGTCAGTGGTACATACGTACTACAGCAATGCTTGCTCAAGTTCGGATAATTCCACTCTTCTGTGACAACATCAGCCATTCTACTAGAGCCGCCTTTAAAGTAATGGTTTCATCTATTGCAAGGCTCCAGAAGTGACCATCTGACTCCAAGTCTTCTCCCCCCCCCCCCGCCCCATCTTCATAACAAGTTCTTTAAGCAAAGCCTGAATAGCCAGATCTGCTTCTACATAAATTACCTATCTTTTTTCTTTAAAAGGCAAAACAATTGACCATAGTAGGATAATAGAAATTCATTTGGAATATATTTGGTAAAACACAGACCCTTAAGAAACAACTGTAAATCAATTAAACTTAACTTTCAGAATTCTGAACCAACACAGGCCACCTGCCAGTGAAATATAAACCACTGGCAAAATACTCTCCGGGGCAGATTTGGGGGCTGCAGGGGAACATCCTGTTGTTTAGATGGACATCTAATCCCTTAGAAATTGGTTGTCCCCCAGAAAATGTCAGACTGAACCTGCATAAACCCAAATTTCACTGCTTGGGATTTCAGTGACATCACTGGTTGGTTGTAGCATTGCCTGATAGTCTGCCTGGTCCTCCCTTTGACAGCCGAGACAACCAAGAACATTGACCAGGCAAGACTACACATCCTGGATCGCCGGAAGCATATGCTTGCAAAGGGCTAACAAAATGTAAAAAAAAAAAAAATCCATTTTACATGAGCCTAACAAGTGCTTTAGTGCTTGTTTGCACTTTAGTGCAAACTAAAGCTTTAGTTTGCGCTTTTTTCAGGCTCCCAAAAAATAAAAACAAAATAGCGGCAAATACAAAAGGATAACAATCAGAGCAAGAAGGAGAAGGGAAGATGGTTCTGCCACTATGTTTCTGGGTTATCGGTAGATCCACCTGGAAGATTGAGGGGGAAAGCAGTAGAGAACAATCCATGATGAGCCCACATGTCTGGCAGGAGTACCATGGGTTGTTCAGCAAAAAAAAACCCCACCATGACTTATTCACAAGGTGGCTTAGTTTGGTGTGTGAACCATAATGCTAGGAACTGGTTTCCTGCAAGGTTGCCAGTTCTCCAACCTCTCCTTGAAAGGTTTGCTTTAAGCAAAAGCAGAAAAAGAAACCCCAAGTCCCTTAAAAACAACCATTGCATTTTTTAAAGAGCCAAGCATTCATCTTTGTATTTGAGACAGATATTATCTGCATAATCTTTGGAAATGTTTGCACAGTCTAGCAGTAAGAACTCATGTCTGTCAATAGTTACTTAGGTGCCTGTAGGTGGAACTGAGAAAAACAAGCTAAAGGAAGCAGGTTTGTGTTAAGCTTAAAGGAAGGCTACAGTCATATATCTGCCCTTAAACCAGAAAAGCCATGCTTAAAGCTGAAATTCCGTGGACACTTAAATGGAAGTAGGTCCCATTGAACTCAGTTGGGCTTGTTTGTATGTAAATATGCAGAGGATCATATGCTAAATTCTATTGAAATCAACAAGGCATGCCCATAATTTCAATAGGATTTAAGCACAACCTGCTACAAGATCTGCTATAAGCCAGATGTGGGACCAAAATGATTCCCTATCAAAATCACTGATTTATTCAGTAGTTGATCTAGCATCCTAATCCTAAGCAGTTGCATACCTGGCCATCAATATCAGTGCATTGCTTCAGCCAAACTCCAGATTTAAAAAAATAACTTTAAACACCTTAACATTAAATTCCAGAGGAACAGGGTTCCTGTTGAACACCAGGAGAAACATCTGTGGACACCACACCCAATCCTGTAGCATCACTGTAAATCTTAGGTTTTGTGGAGATTTTTGTTTGCTTGTTTTGGAAGTGCTGGTCAAAATCGTTCCAGAGAGAGAAATGCAAGCAAGCCTTAACCTACCCCAACAAAAGTGAGTTTCATAAGGTCTCCTGACCTTTGCCTGTGTTTGTTGTGCAGTGTACTAAACAAAAAGTGGTTGATAAAATGTCTCCTTTCCTAAATACTTACGTGCTGAAGAAGCATGGCTTAGGACTGGACCACAGGGTGATATTAAAGCAGGTCAGTAGAAGACAGTGGTAGCTAATTGGCTGTCTAGTGCCAGCTCCAACTCTTGGGCTAGGGCTAGTGAATTCACCTTTTATCTGCTCGAAGGGCAAGTGTAAGCAAAGTCCTTTAGCTCCAGGAAATCTCACAGCCAACCTCAGGTGAAATACACTGTTCGTGCCAATCATTTTTATTCCTCCCAAGGTAAACCAGGATATCCGTATGGGGCTTCTGCCTCTGCTAATGCATAAGGGGACAGGGCTGGCCAATCCAGCTCTTAATTTGTCTTTGTTTAGGTTTAGCGTCTGTCTCCTCTCACATCTCACCTTGCTTCTAATTCACTCCTGGTTAATATGTGAACTGCCACATTAGAAGATTTATTCTGTAGCTGCTGGGTGATGAAAGAAATCTGTACAATGTTTACTCCCTTCCTGTTATTGTCCATAATGTGAACTTTGTGTGGATTGTTTGAATGGTAGTAAATGTTGTTGGTATTGTTAGGTAAGAGCTGGTGCCATTTGGCTTCTCTTACTGACTTTAGTCTTTCTCTGTTGGCACCAAAGTGTGTTCCCCTCTTGGCATGTTGGGTTCGCAGCTCCCTCCATGTTCAGATGAGCTACAGTTCCTTGATGTTTATTCTTGTGCCTTCAGATACCTTGTTTCTGCCCAAATTGTCTTCGCAGTTTGCAAAGTGATGTCCATTAAGGAGTCTGCTACATTTCTTCCACTCTTTTCTGCTCCTCATGAACTTAGAACTTTGAGTATTCTGAATCTGAAGAGATTTTTTGAGGGGATATATTAAAATTATGTGATCGTGAACTGTTCATAATGTGTTGGAAGAAAACAGGGAATAACCAGCAAAGAAAAACCTTCATGTTTAAGTGGACTTTGAAGTTCATGAGGAAAAAAAACTGGGTCTCTTCCCCTGCCCCCGTACCTCACACACACACTGTCATTTACAAGAAACCTTTCAATAGTGGATGAAGCCAATCATGATAATAGACATAGACAAAAACAACGGAAGCTTTCTGCTTTGTGGAGAAACTGTGAGCTCCGTCTTGACGTTCTACAGCAGCTTTCCGCTGAGGAATTCAACTCGCCTCTCCTCCCAGCTGACTTAATGCCTCTAATTATAGTGTTTCCAATACATATCAGTAGATAGTTTAAAAAACTGAAAATAATGAGGGAAAGATAAGGCTTCCAGCAGTGGACAGAGGTGTGATTAGAGTGCAGCTATGGTACAGCTTTCTCTTTTTGAAAGTTTAACATAAAAATTGGGACGAATAGTGAATACAATACATTGGGCACATAAGGCTGCCGAAACGCATTTGCAGTCAAGCAATAATGTGCCGTCTGTTCTCCTTTCCCCTCACCTCCCAAAAAGGTCCAAAACACCAGCACATTTCATGTTATGAAGTATTCTTTGTTTTTTAAGACTTTGCTAGGGCAGAATGTAAGCAGCTTTAACTGCCAACAGTGATTCCAGTGGCATCTTGGTTAAAGGCCTTTTTAGGGTGATTTCAAGCATGTTCTAAAATGGGTGGGCAGCTAGTGGCCCTCCAGAAAGCTTGGTCTATGCACACTATTGCATACCGTTGGATATGCTGGGTAGAGCTTATGACCTATGGTAGTCAAGACACCCGGAAGGCCACGAGTTGCCCATCCTGCTTTCTAAGAAACTACCAGTTCTGCCAAAACCAAGTAGGACCCCAGGGCTTAGAAGATCATTGGAATGGTTCTCCGCAGGAGATAATGCTTGCAGCCATTAAAATTGTGTTCAGATTGTTTAAACGGATCAATGGGTAATGGAAAGACATGCTAAATGAATAAAAGGGAATTCAAATTTGAAGCAAGATGTTGTGAATCTGTTTACTATTAAAGATGATGGTCTAGGGTTGTACATCAAATTGGTGTCCTGCCCTACCCCCACAGAAATCAGAGTGGAATGTTTGGAATTATTATTACATTGAATTGATCGCCTGCCTTCCTTCTTGCAAGCGACCCAAGGTGACTTACAAGGTTCATCACCAACAACAACCCTGTGAGGTAGATTAGCCTGAGAGTGAGTGGCTTCAAGTGACCCAGGGAACCTCATGTCCAACACTCTGACAGCCACACTGGCCCTCCTCTGTGTGTTAGTGTCTTCTCCATATGGCAGACTGGCTGAGCCCACAACATCAGTTGAGTTCCACAGCCAAGAGAGGGAGATGCAGTCAGGTCAAGACCGCAACTGGTTCCTTCTGTCATCTTTCCACCCACAGTACCATTCAGCATGAGTCCCTGTGCCCTGCTTTTACTGAAAGCTTGGTGATTCCCTGTCTCTGGTCACCAAGCTTCCCGATTTCACATACTTGGGTAGTAATACTGTATGGTGGGAGGATTGATTATTTATTTATTTATTATATTTATATGCCCTTTAACATACTAAAATCTCTAAGTGGTTTACAGAGAAAACACATATGTAATACAACCTAAAATAGTTAAAAAATAATACACAATTTAAAACTTGGAGCAAAAACTATCAACAGCAAATAACTGTCATTGTCAGGCAAAGTCCATTTAAAGAAGTATGTTTTCAAAAGGTGTCTGAAACTTGCTGTTCAGCCTGTCAAGCCACATACGGGTGGCAGTTCAGAGAGTGGGTGCCGCTGTTGAGAAGGCCCTGCTTTTGTGATATTACTGGGCAACACTCTGAAGGTCCCAAGTTTTCTTGCCACTTTTCCAGAACAGGATAAAGGAGGGACAGGAACATAATGGCATCATCACAGGCCCCCATGCGATAGCAGAACTGTAGATCTGGGGTGATCCAGCACATCTGCTCTAAAGTGGGTAGAAATTGGCTTCTGTGGGAGCATCATGCATAGCCCAAGAATAAAAATTTAAACTGTTCTTAAAGCATGTATTTCAGGAACATTGGCTGCTAGACACAGTGGGTTCACATTACTGTCTTACCAGTTGCTGTGGAGGATGGGTATGGGTGTCTTTGCCCTCAGATCCTGCTTGTGGGCTTCCCCCAGGCAGCTGATGGGCTATCATAGGAACAACAAGCTGGTCTAATTGGCCTTAGATCTGATTTGGCAGAGCTGTTCTTATGTTTTAACAATAGAGTTCTTTTTTATGTATTTGGGAGAGATTGATATTCTGCCATTCCATCAAATGTCAAAGGCAGCTTCCCGACAGCGATAAAAACCTAAAAATAATAAAGCATCTATGGTAAGAGAGGTGGCTGATCAATTCACCAGTTTTAAGGGATTTTGAGACTTCAAAAAATGCTGGAGACCTTTAAAATCCTTGCATCCACAGGCCAAATGCCAGACAGAAAAAGAAGCTGCAGCGTGAGGCCATCGGGGAGGGAAGGGTCTCGACCAAACATGCATCTGCTGGTGTTAGGTGGAGAGAGGAGGTAGTTTATGGGAGAAAATTGCCCTTGGGATCCCACGGGAAACCTGGTCCTGAGGCAGCTATGCAGCATGTGGTTTTCAGGAAATCGCCCAGGGCCAATAGCTGGCAGGTGCCGACTGATGTGAGTGGCCGGGCAAGTGGCTGTCACCGTGCAGCCACATCCTGGCAGCAGCCAGCCATATAAATGGAGAGATTATCTCAGCCGCTGCAGAACATTCGAGCTCTTTGTGGTGGAAAGATGCCTGATCTACCATGAACAGCCGAGCACAGTTTTCTGCTCCTGTGGAGAGAACGTTCCTAATTGGACCCTTGAGATGGGTTGGACTACAACTCCTAGCATCCCCTGCCAGCCAGGGGATGCTGAGGGCCACAAGTCAGGGAAAAGTGCAGTGTCCCTGCTTATCCCAGAAAAGACACATCCAGGAATAAACAGCTTTTTTGGCTGTATATTAATGAATGGCATTCAACCCCAGTGCCCAAACTACGCAGGGAATTGACCTTAACATTCCTGATCATTGCAAGGATCACTCTCAAATGGCCTCAAATCTGTCTGCTGAAAATTAAGATGGATGGGCTCTTAAAGCTGTGTTGCATTCTTGTGGTTGAGTCCTTTTTATATGCTAAACAAATCACTAAATGTGATATACTCTATGAAACAGACCTAGTTTTAGCTTCAAGCTGTACCGTAGCATTTATTTTGGATATTGCCTTTAGAGAAACTTGCATGTGAAAATGAGTTCTATAATGATATTCTGAAGGTACACTATTGATTCGATCAAGTCCCTTTAGGAAATGCCATGTTTTGCTGTTTTTCATCTCTGAATTTCACAATAACAAATATAACACAATAAAACAAATGTCTTTATTAATTCTGGTTTGTGAGCGTGTATGTTGATTGCAATCCACACAACTGCAGGATATCTGGTTAGTGAAGACTGCTGTCGACCATCACTTTGTTTAAGCGCAAGAAGCATTCCCAAGGGGAAAGCAGTCCTCGGTGGGGGTGCCACCAGTGCAGTGGTAAATTTTGAAACCCAGTCCCCATAAACACACCCCCAGGGAATGTCCAAAATTTCATACAGCTGTGTTGCTCTGCATTAATAAACTTCTATCACTTTTTATCTGCATCAGGAATAGGTCTTTTATAAAGCCAAGAGGCCTTAATTCCCCATTCAAGACCAAGTTCCCCCCAAATATTTTACATGATCTATTGCTGCTGGGAAGAATTTACCCTGACTATTATAAGAACTGCTGCCAAGTTCAAGGAATGGGAGAAAGGTGGCAGAGAATGAAAATGATCCAGCTAATTAAGAAGTGCTCAAGCTGCATCAAGTGAGCCCAGGTTCTGCCACACCACTGGGGGCTACTGAAGAGATGAGCGCATTGTCCAGCAAGACAGCCATGGCATCAAGTGCTCACCCTCCTCACCGTTGCTTTCATGTGGGCCAGAACAGATGAACACGCAGGTTGCAGTGGTGAAGAGAGGAGCCAGTCAAGGTGAGCCCTTCTCATTGGGCTCCCAATATGGTGAGGGGTCTGCCCTCCTTTCCACCTACCTGGCTTTCCAGGTCCACAATGCTTTGCCCAGGGTTGTCCCCTGTGCACACACTCCAGTTCCCAAGAGGGAGCATCCCCCTCAAACAGCTCTCAGGACCCATGGCTGATGCGTGCTGTTTTCACCCACGATTTCTGGGGTTGTGCCGTTTACTTTCATGTGACGCTGCTGCTCACAATTGCAAGTCTTCTTGCATTAATGGACCCCGAGAGAACCTGCTCTTTGGAGTTTAATTCCTCCTGGCATGGTTGTCATGCATGGCTTAGCCAGGGACAGACAGCACCTGGGGACTATTTGAACAAAGGGTGAGTCCATCCGAGCAGTGGGGGCACTTGGCCACCTGCTGCTGTGACAACGGGCTCCTGTTTTCAGCCACAAAATACGTTCCCGATTCCTCCTCTTGTATATATGAAAAAGTCACAAACCAGACCTGGACTGATAATAGACCCTGTTGGGAAAACCCAAGGCAGAAGATCTTTGCCTGGAGGAAAAGGATCAAGTGAAACGTAACTGCAGCATGACTAAAGGTCCATATAGGATTGTGCTAATCCTTGGGGAGATTATGCAAGCTCAACCTTTCGTTCAAGCCTCTGCTCCAAAAGCAAAACTCTTTCATGCTGTTGGCTCACTGGTGCCTTCTGGGCTTATCTCTCAAAGAGGCAATGCACCAGTTCTCCTTTGCTTGGCAGGTATTCCAACCCTAGTAGCCATACAAAGATGCATGGCTTTGGCGAGTCAACACAGAACCAGCAGAAGGGTACTCGAAAAGACTGGTATTGCAGCAGAGCCTACACTCTGCAGGCAAAAGAGCACTACCAACCACTGACGGCATGTAAAGGGAGACTGTGTTAAAAATACTGTGCAATAAATCCCACCTACACATGGAAATTCAGCTTTAGAAAATACACTGATTTTCCAGCTGGCTTTTATATTGTGGCTGCAGTGCAATAGGGCAGGAGTTGCTCTGTGTGTTCTTGGCAGCCCTCCAGTCTTTCATGGTGCTTTCTTACGTGGCCTCGAAGCCACATTTGAACTGAAAGTACCCCAAGATAAGCAGATGAGGTTTGCCAATTCAAGTAGTTTTCATTTCAGCCATGGGTCTGCCCCCCCTTATCTCATGACTCTTTGAAGCTAGCTCACTTCCTCTCCAGACAGAGCCTGTGGTACGTTTGGAAGAACACAGCATGCCTCGCATCAGAGCATCTAGGGCAGCTTCATCTGCTGTGACCGGCAGCTGCTGTCCAGGATCTTGGGTAGAGATCCTTCTGTCCAAGCTGAAGATGCCAGGGACGGAACCTGTGCTTTTTCTGCCTGCAAGACATCTGCTTGAGGCCTGAGCTATGCTCCCTCCCCAAATCAGAAGCTATTTACAGAGCAATCCTTCAGATCCAAGATCAGAAACCGAGTTCTGACCTCAAGAGCTTAGAATCCATGCTTGGATCCCCCATGGCAGGTGTGGAAAGAACTGCATTGGATGTTTCTCCAAGGTCATGAGAGTGAGGCTGGAGTAAGGGAAAGGTGGCAGTCCAGGGGAAGAGGAGACTGGAGGCATATCATGATGGCACCCAACCTCCTTCCCACCCTCTCTGATGTGCCACAGCTGAACAGCTGGAACCAGCCACCTGAAGGAACTGCATGGCAGCAGAAGCAAAAGGCAGAGAGTTCAGCTCTGACACCTGCAGAAGTTTATGGGCATCCCATCTGGATTGCACCTAAAGTTATTAGATTTCCATCCTGTGCATCAGCCAAAGTTTTCTAAGCAGTTTACAATGCATCTTCTAATTATCTTGCTTTGCCATGGAGATTTTTTTTTCTTCCACTTGTCATGTTGGTTACTGAGACTTATGTTTAATGTGTAAAAAGGTGTAAAACAGAACAGTACTTTTAAAGATTCTTTTACGGGCTTTTGCATATTTCTAGGCCAGAAAAATTCAGTACGCACAGTCTCCTATGCAGCTGGGTAGAATTTTCATTGTCCTTTTCTCCATATTTGCCAACGGAAATGGCAGATCAGTGCAAGTTGCAGCCCTCCAGTTGTTTTGGCCCAGTATTCCCATCCTTCATAACAATTGGCTAGGGCTGATAGGGGTTATAGGCCAAAACATCTGGAAGGCCGCCAGATGCTCACCACCTATTTTATGGGCTGACAATAGGGGTAAGTAGGACAGTGTTCCTGGGCCATGCTGCCCCTCTGCCCCTCAAGGAGTTGCCCACCCCTGGTCTTTGCATGTAGACTTTGAAGGCGCATTGAACATAGAACATAGAAACAGTGATTCAGAAGGGGTCTCCTGGGCCATCTAGTCTGACCCCTGGCTCCAGCCAGCTCCACTCATGACATGCCTACCATGTGCCTACCAGCCTATCCTTGAACACCCTCACCGATGGGGCTTCCACCACCTCCTACGGAAGCCCATTCCATACCCTAGGGATCCTAACTGTCAGGAAGTACTTCCTGTTGGAACCAATGTTTCCAACTTAGAAGTCTCTGTTCCCTGCTTAGAGTAGGTTCAGGGCCCTGATCCAGACATCCACCATACTGTGTAAGGAGGATTGTCTGAATCATAGAATCATAGAATGGTAGAGTTAGAAGGGGCCATGAAGGCCATTGAATCCACCCCCTGCTACTGCAGGACACCACATTACACCATCCCACTCAGATGGCATCCAGTTTCTTTTTAAATGTCTCTAGGGTGTGTCTGATCTGGATCAGGCCCCTTGCACCTACCCTGCAGTAAAAATGTTGAAAAGCACAGCTGCTACACACACACTGCAGTGATCCCTGCTTTTGCCCTCACTTCTGAGGAAGTGCTCCGAGGATTGTTCAGTCAAGGAGAAGAACCGAAGCTCAGCAACCTCTCCTGCACCAAGCACCTCCCTTGGCTCTGCTCCTGATCTATCACATGCAGAATATCCAAAGCCACCAAACCGTAGGCTGCATGGGCCATTGGCCTGACACGCGCCAGCTGTTCCTGAGGGGTGCCTCACACCATGTCCCGGAGCTGGACACTCTGCTAAGAACAGATGAGCCAGACAGGAAGATGTTTGCTAAGGAGCCCTCAGAGGTCAGGCTGTTTTTCACAATGATTTACAGTGTTTCTCCTCGGTGTGCTGGACCGAGGAGAGGCAAGCAAGCAAGGCCATCTGCTTTAGCAGACTTGTCTCTACAGGAGGATGTTTCAAACCAGAACAGTTTCCATGGCCCTTAGCCTGAGACCCCATGCAAGGTCAGAATAGGAGCTCTGAAATATATGCTGAAGAAGAAGAAAAGGAAAACTGCCTATCCAAGGGTGGAATCTATATTTTGACCTAGAGAGAGAAAGAGGGAGAGGTGCTTTGGGGCAGGAAATTGGCATAGGCAGAAAGGGCTTGCCCCCTCTCATCCTCCCCATCCAGCAGGGTCAATGGTCAAGGCTGATGGGAGTTGCATGCCAACAACATCTGGGGAGTGCAAACTGTTCCAGAGCTGTGGTCTCCAACCTTTTCCACATGATGAGCACAGCTGGTCATTTCAGCAAGTGCCATGAGCCCCATCATAAAATGGCTTATTTTTCTGACAGTGGAAGTTGCCCGCCAGCCTGACTTACAAATAAATACAGTACAGCTCATATCTGGTTAAACATCACTGAAGTTTCTATGCCAGAAATGGGAAGCTGCTTTGGGTAAAAGAAGCCAATGCAAGCAAGCACCAGTGCATTGCACAAGGCTGGTTTGCTCCGACTGCAACCCCTAGTATGCTTTCCAGTGGTCAGAAGGGACAAGATTTCTGTTTTCTCACAACTTCAGCCAATGCCCATTCCCCAATAAGTTCCTCTTCCTTTCCTCCCAAGACTTTAGGATCTTTCCCATGCAAAATTTAACACCTTGCCTGTCGCTGCACTTTCAAGGCCAAGCAGATTTCAGAACATAAGCAAGAAACCAGCCTAGTAAATGCTGTGTTAGACATTTATTGCTGAATTTATTATAAAATTCTCTGCTTTGTTTTCAGTCTCAGAAGATCATGAATCACCAATCACTATCTCCTTCTATGGTTTTCTTCCATGAGGAGTTTTTGGCCAATTACAACTGAGGGACCACCAAGCCAGGTCAAGGATGCTGAATCCCTTCCTAAAGACATTTCAGCCCAATTGGTAGTGCTTAATTTTAGGCACAATCCCAGCATGCTTCAGCAAATAATTGCTTCTGTCGAAACATGCATAGGATTGCAACCTTAATTGCACTACACACCATGAGCCAATCAAAGGGTCCAATCTTGTGTTTAACATTAAAAAGCAGGTGATGGTGATGATTTAAAACAGCAACATCCAGCTCCGACAT